CAAAATTTTCTCTGAGTTCATTTATATTATTAGATCTAATTTTATAAAGATGATTTTTCAGATCTCCCCAAAAATAAAAATCCAATGGTGTTAAATCCGGTGACCGTGCAGGCCATCTAATCGGTCCATCAGTTCCCATCCAATTTTCACCGAAGTTTGTATTTAGCACATCTCTAATCTGGCGCGAGTTGTGTGCCGGTGCACCATCTTGTTGGAAAAACAAACAGTTTCTTTCTACCAAAGGCATGTTATCCAATGGCTCGATTATATTTTGTGAAAGTATTCTCTCATACAAATTTGCATTCAAGATGAGAACCGAACCGTCCCTGAAAAACTCTGGCAACATTTTGGTGTGGATTAATATCTGCCCAAAAGTGGTTATTATATCGGTTGAATATTCCTTCACTTGTTATATGTGCCTCATCAGTCCATATAATTTCTCTTGAAAAATATTCGTTTGCCTCGATCTTATACAAGTACCATCTGCAAAACATTACACGCCTCTCTTCATCCCCAGCGTGTAAATTGTGGACTTTTCTTATGACATATGGACGAAATTTATTTTTCTTAAGATCCTTACTGATTTTGTTTGAGACACTCCTACATTTCTTTCAATTTCCCTTGTTGACGCTTCTGGATGTGCTGTGATATAACCAATAGTATCTATGGTTTCATTTTCTTTGTTCGCTTTTCTATATGTTTTTGACCTCGGTTGCCAAAAGTACCAAACTGACATAAATTTGTTTCCAGTCTTTGAAATATTTTAGAATTTGGTTGTCGGCCTTCCGGATATCTTTGAAAATATAAGTTTGCAGCTGCATTTTTGTTTTTACCACTTTCTATATAACATTCAATCATGTTATATCTCATTTTGCAATTAAAAACAGACAAGTATCGCGACAGGTTTTTAAACTTAATTTTTTTAATGTTAATAAAAATTGATGTTTAGCTAGGTAACCGTGGTCATTAGCGACAACGTCAAACAATAAAAAAATAGGAATCCCGGTGTTTACGATTACTTTTTGATGATTATTTCTTACGAAAACTAATGATTTTCTTTCAAAAAGTTCGAAGAGAAAGTATTCAGGCCTATATTGGGTCCTATGATTGAACGTTTACGTTATCCGTAACTTACATGTTAGGCGGAGTTTTAACACTAACGATGCAAGTTCGTATGATGGAAAATTTTTCATAACAGATTACTGTTATTTTCTGCCTGTTATCAACATATCTCCTCAACAGCCCCGAATAACATGCCGTTAAGTGCTTAACGTTCATGTTACCAATGTTTTTTTATTTTTTTAGAAATCCTATTTTGAATGACGGGGTAATTAATTTACATAATACAAAAAGAGAATCAAACTAGGAGGTACCTAGGTTATAAACTTCATTACTATTTTATGTTAATCAATTATGAGGTACAAAACTTTAATTAATTCACTATTTGAGGACTGAATTGAACACTCAAAGAAGAGATACCAGAGATCAATTGAAACTCCTGATAAGGTTTTATTACTAAATATACTAGACTTCCAAAAGTTCCAAAAGAATCGGTGCAGGATTTCATCCATTCCAGTTGAACTGAAGCTCTAAATTCTAAAAGTTTATTCTGAATTCTTAGTATAGTTGGAACTATTTTTCATTTTATATAAGGCAGTGGTTCTAGTAGTGTTTTTATTTTCGTGTACAAATGATGTCCACTCATCAGAGGTGTTTTCTCGCGTCTCGAATTTTTTCAAACATTTTTCAAAACTCGTTTGAAACAGTTTCCCAATGACGTTCTAACTTCTCGGCGCGAGAAAATGGTTCAAAAACATTGATTGCATTGTATTTCGGAACAGTTTCAACCAATTTTGTGTGACGTCATGGGTTCATCACGAGAATATACTATTTCAAACCTGTTTTGAACCAGTTTCAAAAAAGTGAACGCGAGAGAACAGCTCTGGATGTTTTTTCGAGTGTTTTTTGGGGTCCAACTCCCAGGACATTTATATAATTTGGAAATGCTAGGTCCCCATACTGTTTCACAGTTATTTTAGATAGTCTTTTCGCCCCAATAAATTGCAAAAAAATGTAATTTAATTGTTTGTTATTGCTGTTTCAAGAAAAACGTCACTTTTGAAACCAAAGTGAAGCTAGGTACAAATACTTTCTTCCATTCCTAACAGCGCTTAACATTTTCTGTTATCGATTTCGTCAATCATACCGATATAACATCTACTGTTATTTTATATGTTATCTATTCCCTGTTAGCATAACATAACAGGTTTGTGTTAATTTTAACGTAAACGTTCAATCATAGGACCCATTGTCTCTGGTCCTGGTATTTTAACAACTGTGTTTTGCCTCAACATCTATTGCTATCTCTATCATGACGTATAGAACAAACAGTGACAGATAACTTAACGTTGCTGTTAAAATAACATCATGGGCCTGATAGTCTTCTACTCGCAAATAATGGCATATTATTATATGCTCGTTGAAGAATATACTATTAGAATATATATGTCTCTATGAAACACAACAATGTCTGTCACCTTTACAAGCACACGCGTAGTATATGCAAATACGCTTACGCTCCATTTTCAGAGGCAATTGTAGGAAAAAACTAATAAATGACGTGTCTCGTAATACCTGGTTTGCGCGCGCAACTCGTGGGTTGCAGGTGAGCGTCCAATAAGAATCGAGTTTGTTACGGGCTTGCGTCATATTCGTATTCAAAAACGACTTTAGAATTATCGTTCTTTCTTCCTGCAGCCACGAGTTGCGCGCGCATGTCATTTTTCATTACTTTTGATAAACTAGTGTGATAAAAGTCCATCTAGTAAAAAAAACTAAGTTCTAAGTTACAATGTAAGCATCTTATTTATGTCTAATTTTTGAAGCTTATTTTTTGTCTATATTTATAGGGGAATTTGGAAAGTGAAAAGTTTGGACTCGACTAGGATTTGACTCTAGGACCTCTAAATTCCCAGTCTATAAACTGAGCTACCAAAGCCTTCGGTTCATTTTTGCCCAATCGGTCAAGTGTTTTGTCAACTTTTAATGTGTTAGTGCTACAATCTGCAAACTTCGGCGGTTACTGAATCTAGGGGTCCTAGGTTCGAAGCCTAGTTGGCTATTATGTCTGCTAGTTCACGTAAAAATGTTCATTAAAGGATTAAAAACATGTGGTAGGACATTTAAGCGAAATAACGCTTTAGGATGAAATGTATTAAATCTCACCACATTTTTTAATAATTCTAATTCCGTGTCGCTGCCGCACTTGCTCCCGCTACCGCCCTACCACGTTTGTGTTCGGGATCTCTAAATCCGAGGAACAACTCTATAAAATACCCTAAAAATATAGTTTTTTCGCAGTTTTGACAGTTAAAATTATTGAAAATATAAAGTGTTATATATCATGAGAATCACAAAAAAAAACCTAATTTAACGGTGTGAAAATATATAGGGTGTCCCATTTTAAAAAAGTTGAAATTTTGACTATATCTCGAAAAATAATACCCCTAGAAAAAATCTGAGTACGCCACTGGATTCTACGTGAAAAATCACACAAAAACGTAATTTGACATTTTTTAAAATTTTTGATAACAACTGAGATACAGAGGAAAACAGAAATCAGCTATTTTCCAAAAAACCCCTGTATATCGAAAACAAATAAATTTCGAAAAATTCTGAGCGGTCCATTAAACTATACTCAAAAAAATATATCGCGACACTTATATCAGATTTTTTGTATCTATCACCGTTTAGGCTGTACCCGGCATTCCCACCCAAAATGACTCACCCTGTACAGATTCACACTAATGCGTTGCGCATTAGTTGCTCCAATATGACAATCAACTCTTAGTGCTAAGTCCTTATTTGCGAAAATCCGATGCTTGATGTTATTGATATTACTTTCCACTGAAGCTGAACTACCTAAGAAAGAAGCTCTTCATAATTGCCGACCACAGAAGCAAAGTTTTGCAAATTTTTAGTATATCTTTTTCAATATTCGGAAGGAACTGCTGATTGCCTTGAATTCCTATTTGATCGTTCTGGTTTACTAGGTTCTTGCAATCATCAGCAATAAATTGCGCCCATACTTCAAACTCATTTTTATCGCCAGATTTATCATTGTCGCATTCGTCATTCAATACCACACAGTCATTGTTACTTATAATTTTCTCTTTGGTAAAATCCTCCATTATTTCCACAGTTCCAATGCTACATCTGCTTCTGAGCCATTTTTATCCACGCCCACAGTGAATCTCTTCGCCAATAGTATTATTTGTTATGTTCGATTATGTTGAGTAATTTGAGGATTACCCAATGACATTTGGATTAACCAACATAATCGAACATAATCTTTGGAAAAATTATGTCGCGAAAAAATGCCTATTGAGTGGTTTTTTATAAGGAGACCACAGAGCTCCAATATATTATATAGTTACCGTTCAAAAAATACAAGAGTAGCAGAGTTCAAACCACTCTCATAATGAAACTATTTTTGTAAACCAATAGTCGTCATAATTGTTTTTATTCAATAATTATTATATTTAATTTTTTTTCCAATAAAATTCGATTTATTTGGGTAATTTTGTTTGTTATGAAATAAAAAAAAAACAAAAAAAAACAGTTAGACTCTATGAAAATAACTCTGACATGAACGTTTATCTTTGTTTTTTTAACTTAAAATCTACTTTGTCAAAAAACCCTTAAAAACTAAACCTATTAGCTTTATCTAAATTCTAATAAGTACAGATCTAATTAATTAGTAGAGGAACTAGTACAGTATTTCAATATATTCTCCGAGATATTTTCTAAAGTGTTGGCATTTTTTTCTTTTGCCAGGACATCTCTTCCATAGAGATCTATTTTTTTTTCATAGTAAAGTTTCCTACCATTATTTTGGGTTTCACTTAATTCTACCAGCTTGCTATTATTCACCATTGCCTTATCAAGCCTCTCGATTCTGACAGGAGTTTTATTTGCATTTTTCTCGGAATTTTTATTGCCTAGTCTGCTGATTTTTCTTGTGTTGGTGGAGGTAATTCTATGGTGGATCTATCCTTTCTATCATCATTTAATTCCTTTTCTCCTACTATTTCCAATCCTACTGTATTTTCTTCTTCTACACTATATTCATGATCAATATGTTCTCTTATAATAGTGCTGTAGCTATTATTGTCTATGATTATAATATCATTTTGAATGAATGTACAGTCTGATTCCAAAATGGTAGGGTGTCCTTTAATAGCAACCTCACCCATGTTCGAAAGTTTTTTTCAGGCAATGACCAACGTGAAATCAGGGACACAAGGGTCCCTGTTTGGGAATCGATCCACTGAATAGTGGACTCAGCCTTCCCGTGCCAGTCTTTCACGCATTTCGTCCTTGTTAGGAATCATCAGAAGGACATAGGCTGAAGCTCCCTGTCCAAGCAAAATTGAACTTCGTTGACCATTCGATCGGGAGATCTGTAGCTTCCCACCTTTCGGCTTAAGCTGAAATGTCCAAATCGGTGCTCGTACCGACTAGGTAGGAAAACCACTGTCGAGTTAACACCTGTTCTAATATCCAGAACCCCTACACCCAACCCCGACCATGGATTGTTAGCGGGGTTGTTTGGCTCGCAGGCCGTTGTCCTATTTTATCCTTATTGTCTAACATTGTTTCTTATCCTATTTTGTCCTTATGCCTAGCCTTATTTCCTATTTTACTTTCCCTTATCCTAAATTATCCTAAAATGTCCCCTATCCTATATTGTTCTTACATCTAACATTTTGTTTTAGATCTGCTTTCGCTTTTTTTTTTTGCGAGAAAGCTGACGTTTCTATGGTCTATGGTAAGTAAAAGTAATTTAAAAGTCCATTGGGTAAGTATCCAGTCTAAGTTATGTCGTTACTGTTTTTAACTGCCCTCTCTGCCCATTTGTTTAGCTTGTCTGTTTGCTGCCTTTTTCCTTTATTGTTTTCACGGAGCCTGATAGTTAGATCCCCGTACTCCCTCAGTATTTCGTCCCTGACAGCCCTCCTCTCTGGATCTTCAGACTCCTCGCGCACGTGCCGTGCGTCTTCTATTGCGTTTAATCCACAAGTGCACGTGCCGTCCACTTCCTTCAGCTTAAATCTGCTCAGATATTGTGAGAAGTTCTCATGTCCAGTTAGCAATTGTGTGGCTTTGAAGCTGAGTTCCAACCTGTCTGTCCCCACTTCGGCGCAATGCTTGTAGGCTTCCCTACCCTTGGTTTCTGCGTGCCATGTTTTCTGCCATTCTAACATTACCCTCTTTTCCCTTTCTGTCTTGCGTGTTGTTCTGTCCTTGTATTGGTATTGTCGTAGTTCGTCTTGTATTTGGGTGAGGTTCTGTGCTTGTTTAGCTAGCTTGTCCGCCTCTCTATTCCCATAATTCGTCCCGTTGTGTCCCTTCCTCCATCCGAATTTTATTTTTCGTCCTTCGTCCATCAGACTTTCAGTAATTTTTAATATGTGTGCCACAATTCTGTCATTTGTCCTTCTAGCAGTTAGCTTGTCTATTAGTTCCCGTCTGTCTGTTATTATTCTTATGTGGGTCACTGGTGCTGTTGCTCAACTAGCTGCAGTCCCTTCAGGATTGCCGTCAACTCTGCTCTGTCTGTCTTCATATTGTCAGGTGCTCTGACTTGATGTCTGGTCGACTGTCCCTCTTCTATCCAGAAAATGCCGATGCCAGTCTTACCTTCTGGGCTGACACTGGCATCCACGTGAATCTCTGTGTATTCCTGCTCTGTTCTATCCGTCCCTCTACCTCTTGTCGTCGGGTGCGGTCTGTCTGTTGTTCTGATTTTTGCTTTTTGAATGTATTGGTGATGAGTTAGCCAGTCTGCTCTCCTCTCCGTTGCTTCTATCCACAGGGGTGGTGTACCTGCAATGACCTGTAGCACGCAATTTGCTGTTGTGGCGTAGGCTCTACAGGTCATTAGTAGTGGAGGTCTAGCCGCAGCGTCAAGATGTCTCCTGCCAAAGACTGAGTTGGCCTTTCCGCCCCAGATTTCGCTGGCGTAAAGCATCGCTGGCTTCAGTACCTTGTCTAATATTTCTTTCAGCACCTGTCATATTATGTCCCCATTTCCTGTTGATTATTCCCATCAGGGTCATGGCCATTTTTGACACCTTTGTCCGTGTAGTCCGTAGGTGCTGAATGTAGTTTCTCTGTCTGTCTATTGTCAGACCGAGGTACTTTATGTGCTCTCCGGTGTTCACTGTTCGTCCGTCTGTTTTGATCCTGGGCTCCCTTGTTTTCTTTCCTTTGTACATGTATAGTGTTTCCGTCTTATCGTCGTTGTATCTGACGTCGCTGATGCCTTCCCACTCTTTGCAGGCTGACCATATGGCTTCCCATTTCTTCTCTATTTCTGTGATGGAGCCAGCGATTACTATAAGCTGGTCATCAGCGTACGCCTGCACATCCGCCAGTCTGCTTTTATGTGTCCTGTCCCATGTCTCGTCAGCTTTGTCCATGCATCTAAACCACCCCTGCATGACTAGCAGCCATAAGGTCGGGCCCAGACTTGATCCCTGTGGGCATCCTCTAGTCATGTCTTTTGTCACGTTGTCCGTCGTTATTTGTCTGTCTATCATGAAACTCTCGCAGATCTTCCTCAAGTTGCTAGTTGTTCTCGCTATCTCTAATTCCTCGCTTACATTCGGTCCCCATGCTGTGTTGAAGGCATTCTTTAGGTCTAGTCCCACCAGCAATTGATGAGATCCCTGTTCTTTGTTTGTGTCTATTATTTGGTCTAGGCTGTGCAGTGCTTCGACTTCGCCTGTGCCTTCTCTAAAGCCAAATTGTCTCTTGTCTATGTTGGATGTCCTTTCCAGGTGGAGTTGTAGGCGTTTGTTGATGATCTTGTTTTGTACTTTGCCCAGCGTAGGGAGCAGGCTTATGGGTCTCGGAGTTCCGTCTTTTTTGGGGATCCAGATGATGTTGGCTTTTTTCCAGACTTTGGGGAAGTATCCATTTTTTAGACAGTCTTTAGGTATTTTATCAATACTGGTGGCCTTCTTTTTCTTGAGACCGTCTATTGTGTCCTCCAGTTCGGCTCGATTGATTTCTCTCTCGTTGGGTATGTTGTATGTTCTTTGTCTGTTCCTTCTCTGCTTCATATTGTCACTGTCGAGTTCCGGGTTGTCATCTGGAAAGTATTTGTCCATTAAGTACTTGTTTGTTTCCTCCTCGCCGTTTGTGTAGGTGCCGTCGTCCTTTCGTAAGTTTGATGGAACTTTGTTTGGACTTTTTTTTCCCAGTATTTTCCATAGTAGATGCCATGGTCCACTGTTGGAAGTGTCTTCCACTTTCGTTTGTATGGCTTTCACCTTTGCATCCTGTATGGCCTTTTTGTATTCTTGTTTGAGTTCCCTATGTTTCTGTGCCATTGTGTGTCTTCTGCTCGGGTCCTGTTCTCGTTGTTGTTCTCTTCTATGTCTTCTTGTCTTTTGTCTCAGTTCTTGTAGGTCAGCGTTTCACCACTCTTGGTTGCCTTCTTCCTCTATTTTCGTCCTTATCTGTGTTTTGCAGGCTTTTGTGCAAATATCCTGTAGTGTTCTGGCTCTCTCTTCTAGTTCAGTTGAGGTTTGTTCCCATGATAGTTTGGTTGTTTCGTTTTGAATATATCTTTCGAAACTTTGCCAGTCCGTGTTGTCAAAGTCATAGTTTTTTCTGGCTGCCTTCTGCCTTATGTCGGTTTTGATTTTATATGTAATGTACTTGTGACCGCTCAGTGTTTCGTCCTCCAGTATTTGCCAATCGTGTATCGCTATGTTTTTTGCGATCGTCATGTCTATGTAGCTGCTTCCCATTACTGTTGTGTAGGTAGGACCTCTCATATCCGTGTGCTATAGCCCAGTCGAGCAGTTGGGTTCCCCTTTGGTCAGTTATTGACCCACCCCACGCCTCATTGTGGGCGTTGAAATCTCCAGCCAATATGTGTTTGTCCTTGATGTTTCTGTATTTGTCCTCGTTCTGTAAAAGTCTTGTGTTGTTGTTGCCTCCGGGCTCGTCATATATCGACGTGATGTAGATACTTGCGTTGTCCTTGCTTTCGTACCTGATGGTGGTGGTGTTTTCGTTACATAGTTGTATGCACGCAGTTGTGTTTTGCAAGCTCTTGTGAACCCATATGTTCGTTTTTGACCCTTCTATGTTCCCATGTATATGGTAGTTTCTGCTGCTGTTTTTTCTATAGGGCTCCTGCACAATGATCACGTCCGCTTTAATTTCTTCCGCCATTCGTTCCATTGGGCAGGTCGCCTCCTTTCCTCGGTCTGTATTTATTTGTAGTATCTGGATGTCCCTTGTTGTGTCCTGTTTTGTTGTATTCGGGTGTGTTGTCATGTTAAATTCTGTATTGGATTTGTCCTCTCTTCCTCTCTAATTTCATTTTGTACGCCGGGCACTCCTTGTCCCAGGCCATGTGTCGTCTCTCGTCCTTTCGTATGGTAAGTCTGGCACAGTTTGGGCAGTCCATGTCGGTTTTGTCGCACTGTTTTCTGTCATGGTTTCCTCCACATCTCATACATATCGGGGTTTCTCTACAATGTCTCGCTACGTGCCCGAACCTGCAGCAGTTGAAGCACATTGCCAGCTCCAGGAATTCATCGACGTATACGCTCATAAGGTCCAGCCTGACTTTGCCGGCCTTCATTGCCGTCCTGAATATTTCAGTGCTCACTTCGCAGACGATGTTCTCTTTATATGAGTTCCTACACGTTTTTCGGTGCACCACTCTTATGTGTTTGTCCGTTGCATTGCTGAACTCAGGATTTTCCAGAAATAGAAAATTTGACACCTCCTCATCTTTTAGACCTCTGTCTACTCCCGATAGTTTTAGCATTGGTCTCTGTTGGGTTTTACCCCCCTCTCTAAGCTCCCCTACTTGTTCTTGTTGTAGTACCTGTCTTATCTTTTTTTGTTGGTCCTGGTCCTTGGCTAGGATGATGGTGCCTCCCTGTCTAGTTGTTCGTATGGCTTTCACCTCCCTGACGCTGTTATTTATTAGCAAGGTGCGGATATTTCTACATCTCCGCTGTGCGTCTTCTTGGGTCGTATTTTCTAGACCTTTCACTATGACTTCGTAGTCTGGGCTAGTCTCCTTGGGTTCCGGAGTTACCCAACCATTCCTGCGCTCTGTGTCTCTGCGTTGCAGTCTCTCCTGACGCGTCTTCTCGATGGAGACCATGTCGGCGTATGTTCTCTTCTTTTTCTTGTTTCTTACTTTGGTCCAGTCGCTGGCGTCCGTCTCTACATTGGTTTCCGTCTCTCCTGCTTTTTCTTGTTCGGTTGGTGGCCCTTGTTGTCTGGTATGCTGTCTGTCGGTTCGTGTGTTGGTTTTCTTGTCGGTCTCTCTTTGTGGCTGTTGCGGCTTGTTTGTAGTATGTGACTGTTTGTGGATCTCGATAGTATTTCTGAGGGCGTTGATTTCTTTACTGGTGTTTAGGCGAGCTTGCCATTCACTCTCCCTTGCCTGCGTCTGCTCGATCAACCACCTGTTCCTCTCTTGCTGTCTTATGACTTCTCCTTGGGCCCTTTCAAGTCGGGTCGCCATGTTCAGGAACTCGTTCATCATAGTATTGGTGCTCTTATGTACCACGTCTTTGTCCTCCATCTTGAAACTGAGTTTCCCCCCGGCGTATCTTGATGTGGCCTTCACTATGCTTTCAGCACATTTGGTCACTTTTGCGATGCTTTCGTCAGTCAAAGCGTGCATTGCCCCCTTTTTCGTCTCCTGTATGTCCCACCATTCTCTTGCTTGTTTGTCCGTTGCTTCCTGTTCTTGTCCCATTTGCTCTCTGTTTTGTGTTTCCCTTGTTTGTTGTCTATCCTGCTCCGCCATTTTTAGTCTAAGGTTTTCAGCTCGCAGCCTCTTCTCTTCTTGTGCGGCAATTCTTTTCAGTAGATCCCTTTCTTTGCCATCAGTTTTACCACTTGGGGTTCTATAGTTGGCCTCGTCTTCACTACTTGACACTCCTTTTGCGCCTGGTTCTTTTGCACTGCGCCTGCTTCCTCGATTTGCTCCAATGATCTTTCCAGTACGTTGTGGATATCGTGCATGGTATCGGCTAGTTTGCAGTGGATCTCAGCCTCTATCCTTTCAGTAATTGCTTTCACCAACTCTGGCGATCTCCGTAGGGTGGGTTTTTTTGGGATTTGGCCGAGCGAGTTGGCTAGCAGTTCTTGCTGTTCTATATCATCCCATCGGCTTTCCTCCCTGTCTTTCCTCTTTTTGGAGCCTTCTCCATCTAATGAGCTCATTGTTTCGTCGCCTGTGCTTGTTTCTTGGCTGTGTTGCATGCCAAATTGGTCTCTACCCTTTTTTCAGGCTCTGATTGTTCTTCTGGTGCCTTTTTGAGGCTTTTCCAGAAAATTTCCAGAATCAGGAAAAATGTTCCCCTGGCCTTTTTGGACCTTTTCCAGGTTTTCCAGATTTTTTCCAGATTTTTCCAGACTTTTCCGACCTTCTCCAGAACTTTCCAGGTCTTTTCCAGACTTTTCCAGGATCTTTCCAGATTTATCCAGACCCTTTCCAGACCTTTTCCAGACGTTATACTTCTGTCCTGGTTGTTTCCAGAGTGTCCCAGGAGTCTATGCACAGTTCACAGTTTCCCTGGCCTTTTTGGACCTTTTCCAGATTTTCCAGATTTTTTCCAGAATTTTTCCAGACTTTTTCGACCTTCTCCCGAACTTTCCAGGTCTTTTCCAGACTTTTCCAGGAAATTTCCAGATTTATCCAGACCCTTTCCAGATTTTTTCCAGACGTTGCACTTCTGTCCTGGTTGTTTCCAGAGTGTCCCAGTAGTCTCTATGCACAGTTCACAGTTCCCCTGGCCTTTTTGGACCTTTTCCAGATTTTCCAGATTCCAGACCAAGGATCGAACACCTATCAGTTTACTATTTCAAGAAAAGTAGAATTCTATGCAGCACTTGTAGTAGTATGGTGTAGATCAAGACTTATTTTGACTTTGCCTCCCACTTCGGTGTCACAAACTGAATTTTTTAGGGATGAAAGTACTTGGCAAGGTAACTCTTATTCCGGAGGTAATACAAAATTGGACTGTGCAAAAGGGCACTATCATCAAAAATCGAGATATTGATACCACCGTATAGAGAAAAAAATACTCTATTATTGGTCCAATACACAATAAGGTCTTTGTACGGAGTATTTTTTTATAATCATTCAAAAAAAAAAAATTACCATTAGCTCTTATGGCCGAAAAAAACTTTAAACGTAAATATCTCGGTTTCAAGCGTGCAAAAATTTGGTTAAAAATAATCTTTTTTAAAAATATTTTTCATTTAATGAAAAACGAAGGCTTAAATGGAAAAAAAAATCTTTATAAAAATTTCGCTTGTGTATTGTCTAGGTAACAGTGCAAACCACATATTTTTTGCTTCTAAATTAACAAAGATATAACAATTAACAATAAGATATATCAAGGGTTTATGGAAGAGCAAGATCGGACCGCTGCATTTCTCGACTCGTTATGCATCTCTCTCAGTGTTGATACGTATGGGATCTCTTTCACTCTGTTACATTATTTTGTATAGGGATTATTAATTTATTCATTTAAAGCGAAGAATATTTTATAGGGTACCTATATGATTTTCCAATAAATTGCCTTTGAGGAAAATAAAAAATAACAAGAAAAATTAATCATATCATCAAAATACATATACAGGGTGTTTCACGAACATCGAAACAGAGGCGTTTTAGGGTATTTTTAAGTCAATTAAAAAAAACGCTCGCACACGTCGATTTTGTATTCAAGAGGGAAACTTTTTGACCCCATCGGGTGGGGTGACTTTAACCCTTCCTTTTGAGATAGGAAAGATGCCGAAGATGGGTCGAGTAGTAACTTGTTACAAAGGTATTTTGATTCTTGTCAACGGTGCGCGTATTTTTTTTTGAACATAAAATGATTAGCTATCAAGATATTTACTGTCAAAGTTGCTATGGGCTAAATAGGAAACAATTTTCTGGCCCTGTTATTCTCAAATTAACACTTCTTCTAGTATTTTGTACTGAATCGAGACTCTAACACAGTTTCAACTCACTCCATCGACATAAAAAAGCAAGAAAAAAAAAAAAAATCCTTCAATTATTGAACATTTAGAAAATGCTGTTATTTGAAAGATCTTCGAAACAAGATGCTACTCAGCCCACACCCTCTATCATAATAAAAGGGGTGACAATCAGCCTCGATGCAAAAACAAAATAACATACAGAGTTTTAACGAGAATCAATAGTACATTAAAATACAAGTTTCATAAGACGTCATTTTATCGCACGAGCCCTATATTAGAAAACGAGCCGGAGGCGAGTTTTCTAAAGGGCGAGTGCGATAAAATGTCTTATGAAACGAATATTTTATACTATTTTTTCTATTTTGGCATTGTTTAATTGAAAAAAACATTTAAGCCTTCGTTTTCCGTTAAATGAAAGGTATTTTTAAAAAAGATGATTTTTAACCAAATGTTTGCACACTTGAAACCGAGATATTTACGTTTAAAGTTTTTTTCGGCCATAAGAGCTAATGATAATTATTTTTTTTTGAATGATTATAAAAAAATACTCCCTACAATGACCTTAATGTGTATTGGACCAATAATAAAGTATTTTTTTCTCTATACGGTGGTATCAATATCTCGATTTTTGATGATAGTGCCCTTTTGCACAGTCCAATTTTGTATTACCTCCGGAATAAGAGTTACCTTGTCAAGTACTTTCATTCCTAAAAAATTCAGCTTGTGACAAAAAAGTGGGAGGTAAATCGATTTTTAAAGCGAATATTTTAATCCATCGAAATATACTATACTATAGCACTATACTCAACTTCGTTGACCAGTCAGAAACAACTACTCCGGGGGCAAATACCCCTACCGGCGTTGAATTACACTGATTGGTCTGAGCTTTCGTTGGCACGGGATGGCTGAGTCCACTACTCAACTTGGAAGCACATTAATGATGGGAGCAACCAAGGTCTCAAGGCGTAACCTGAATCTCCTACAATAATAAAATAGTCAAAATTACTGGAAATATGATGCCCTTGCATTACCTCTATTTTCACCTACGTTTTTTATGCGTTCTTTAGGAAACTGAAATCCGTAAAGATTTGGTTTCTTTCGCTCCTGTTGCTGATGAGAGTTTTAGAGGATATAAAATAGTGGCTGCAAGTAGAGGAAAGTCAACTTCCAACAAGAGAAAATGATCAAAGGCCATTATTGTGAAGGTTTCTCTTGTATTGATATGCCTTCTAACTATTGTTCCATATATCATCTATCATGTATGCCCCCAGGAAATATAGCTGACACATTCATAATTTTTGAATAAAAGTCACAAATCTAAAAGAAAATTATGACAAAAAAGCGAGGCTTTGAAATAATGTTGTTCTGCCATGAATATGATTGGGCTTCATAGATGTAATGTTCATTTCTGGTTTTAACAGTATTGGACAGATGATGTACCTCGGTAGGTATAATATTTATCTTCTGCAACATTATTTTCTGTCCCATACTTAGGTTTTAAAAATAATCAATTTCCAAAATTAAGAAAATAAAGTTGCATAATTGAATACATGTATACACAGGTTTTAGTCACACTCACTGGTTGAGTGTATATAGAATGGTACCCTTTTGGCATCGATGTTGGTTCGATGTTATGTTTATTGATGTGAAAAAAAGAAAGAAAGAATTTGCTTTATTGTCAGAAAATTTTACAATTTTGTGGACAAAGCTGAAAAAATAAAAAACAAAACATACAAATGCAAAAGCACAGACAAAACCAAACACTTGAACAAATAGTTCATGGTCAAAATTTGATTAAAACTAATAAACAAACATCTAGGTCTAACTGCTTATACTGTGCGAGTAAGCATATTATAGGTACTAAAAAAACAAACAAACAATAACTTATAATAACCTATCATGATACAGGAACAAAAACAAAACCTGTGAGTAAGCTGCTCAAAATTTAGAATTAGGAAACCATAAACAACTCGCTTACTGTGTACAAGGCTCTCCTCAGTAAATACACCTTCAACGCCCTGCGAAATTCGAGAAAAGATGCAATGGACTTGATGTTAGGCGGTAGATGATTATGCATCTTTTTAGCGTTATAAAGTATTGAACTTTTAACTAACTCTGAGCGCGGGATTGGCAGATAAAGATCCAACTCTGCGTTCCTCAGTGGATAATTGTGAGATGGCCTCTCTGAGATAGCTGATATTAAGTGCTTACGAATTAAGCAGACGGATTCGAAAATAAATAAAGATGGAAGAGTCAATATACTAGACTTGATAGAAAATTCCCGGCAGTGAGTTCTACTACCAAGTCCCAAAGAATAACGAAGAGCTCTCTTCTGCAGTCTAAAAATGCGTTCAAATTGAGACGCACAACACGTGCCCCAGAATGGAAGGGCGTAATACGTTTACGAATGCGACTCAAAAAGAGCATAATATACCATCCTGCAAGTTGCCGAGTTAAGCTCCCTGGAAACAGAACTCAGTGCAAAACAGGCCGAACTTAATTTCTTTGCTAAGGCGTCGATATGCAGGTCCCACTTTAGAGATTTATCAACAACAAGCCCCAGGAATTTCACGGAATCAACGGCCTCCATGGTATTGTTATCCAGTACTACAGATTGGAGCGAAGCTCTGTAAGATAAAACTTTGGTTTTAGAGAGGTTGAGGCACAGGAGATTTGAGTCACACCATGATTTGATGGTGATTAAGTCACTAGATACGGTTCTATGGAGTTCCGTAATATCCGGGTTGCTCCAAGTGAAACTAGTATCGTCTGCGAAGAGACAAACTTTGCCGCTAATATCCAGACTAGCAA